TATCGTTGTGTTTACTTTGGAAGGGGTTTTGATATGCAACCAGAAATATTGTTACTAGTACCCCATTTGGTGATGCTGGTCCATCCCATAAACCCCCCCCCCCTCTCCCTCCCTCCGGCATTTGTCAGGTCTCTCTGTTAGTTCACCAGTTACCAATTACACTCCGAAGTGGAGAGAGGCACAGTGAACTTTCTCAAGAACCCACATTTAACAACCTGTTTTACAACACAGGTGAAAGATGAACCAAATGGACCAAAATGGGTGAGATTTCATGCTTGTTTGAGTGAACAAGGTTATTTCAAGGTTAGTGGGGATGCATACATCTGCTGTGTTTTTTCATGACCCTCATACACCAGATAACAAAATTGGCAATTAAAAAGGAGTTTTAGAAATTCAATATTTGCAATACTCTGTCTTGTAATAAACTTGCTAGGACTGTATTGGAAGATTTCCTTTCATCTGTCTCATGTTTATGTATCAGGGAGAAATGGAAGGCTCAAAATTGTACCAGGATCTTCTGAAGAAGGCCAAGCAGCAATTCAGTGAGAACTTCATGACTCAAAACAGGTTTGTCCAGCAAATTCATCGCTCTGTTGCTTCCACAAGACGGGGGAAAGTGTTTGGGATGAAAAATCCCCAAACCTTGCAGCGATCTATAGTGACCTGGAGGCAAAAAAAAACAAGACATTTAAGTCCTCTTGGGGAAAAAACTTTTTTTGGCAAGTTTTGAGGTGTTCTCCTATCCTTAATTTATCATACGCCAAGTGGCTTTTAACTTGAATTCATTGGTTGTTGCGGCAGATCATCTGAAAACGCTTTTTCCTTGAACAACAAATAGTTGGTTACTTTTCACGCCTTACCACCCCCTTGCTAATTTTATTCAAGTGAAATGGACCTGACTTTTCTTTTTTTTTTCATTTGTTGGTCTTGTAACTACAGGTCACATCCAGGCCAGATTATTCTGACAATGTTAAAGGATGCTGTGATAGATGTGGAAAAGATGAAGGCAGAAGAGTTGCTCCCGGAAGACGGTAAGAAAAATGCTATGATAACTCTATAGTTTGACCTGATTCCGTTTATAGTTTGTGAGTTTTGGAAATACCGTAAAATTTAGTCTGTGCTGATTGCCCCTAACTAGTATCATAATGATCTCCAAAGATCTGAATGTTAATTCTCTCCTCTAATTCCTGCACATTTCCTTGGAAATTAGTTACAAGAATTTGGTGTTAGATCATTACAATAACTTTTACCGGATTAATTTGAATATTCTTGTTACCTGTTTGCTGTATGATATATGTATACTATGGTGAGAAGTTACTTGTTAATTAATCACTTCTGGGAGTTTAAGGGTTTAGGGAATTTTTTTACGAAGCTTCAAAACGACTGAAAAGATTTTTACCTATCTCCTTTAATAAATTGTGTGACAAAATTCGCGAACGCGGTAAACCTGTTGAGATCGGTCGTTGTAATTCCTTTGATGTTGGTCTTACGACAACCAATTGGAAAGCGCTTTGTTGCTTCATGGAAGTGACAACTCCGAAACTTGATGAAATAAATCGGTTTTTGAAACAAATCGATGATAACTTTTTGTTGTTCAATTTTTGGATTAACAGATGACAGCTGGTTAAACTTGACGGAGCAAGATTTAGAGGAAATGCTTTCAAAGTATAGCGATCTAAACTCAAGAAAAACTAGAAGAGGCACCCGCACAAACACGCCCAATCATACCGTATGTACTTCTGGTAACTTTTATAAGTAAGAGCGCGATGAAATCTCGTTTCTCTCCCTTTGCAATCCAAGAAATGTGCTTGGGGAAAATACACCCACTTTTTGGTGTTCTCCATAAGTTAAAAGTGCCCCTCAAATCCTTAAATCTTGGAGAAAAATGCCGATACGATAGCATTCACCACAGGTAGAGAGGAATGTGGCCAATTTGGCTTTTGCATACTAGTGTTTTATTTCGGATTTTGTATAACAGCTCGATTTTGGATTCCGGATACTAGTGGCCAAGCCTTAACTGTAGACTGCTTATTTTTAGTTACGTTATTGCGCACTAATGTATCGAATTTGTTTGTGGTTTCAGGAACCTTCAGTAGACCTGGATTCCGTGACTCGTACTTTCAAATCGTTTGTGGACAAAGTATCCAGTTACGAGGGAGCAGAATTTCCAGGGTAAGAGAAGATAAATAAAAGGGGGTAAGTTTCTAAAGAAACTGTGGTGCTGCGTCGGTGGGGGTTACAAGGTAATTTGGTTTTATCAACTGAGTGTTATCAACTGAGTTTATCAACTGAATGTTAATTTAAAAAGGTTACGTTTCGAGCGTTAGTCCTTATAGTCTTCGCTCGGACGAATAAGGAAAAAAAAAAACATTGATGCGTTCCTGTAAATCTGTAAAGGGAAACAAAAGTATGAAAAAGGAAAACTCGAGACTTCTTGTACACAGAGCTTATTTAAGTACCAGTTTCTTGCTGCTTTAACATTTCGTTTAGAGCTTTACCTAAAAAGCTTTACAGTTTTCAGACACCAAGACTTACTCCCTCGTGGGGTTGTTTATAAGACAACTTGGTTTCGACACACTGAAAGCATATCACCAAGGCTCTATAACGTTTGACCGTTGTATTCCGAAAGTCTCGCCTCGGCATTCAATTTTTACGCTGAATTCGGCTTGGATTGTAACGTGGATCTCGCATCTAAAGTCCTGAACATTAGTCGTCAAACCATCGTGTGTGCTTATAAATCTAAGGTAGCGCTTCGTATCGATCGTTTAAAGGAAAAAAATATATTACAATTGTTACCGTAATTTGTGTTATGTGAAGTGTAAATGTAGGGCAATGTTTCCTGGTCGAGGTGTTCATTGTTGCTCTCTTTTGGCAGGGATCCTGAAGAAGGAGATGTTCAGTTTGATGCCGACTCTTTCATGGACACAGTTGGGAATTTGTTAGGTACTTCTACGCATTCTATCAGTTCCAAAATGCTTTCTAGAACAATTGAAATTGTTGCTTTATCAATATGCACATCTCTTGCCAATATGGAACTAAGTTAGGAGGCTACAACCCCACGTAAGCCTTATTATAAAAGTATTTTTCTCCTTTTTCGGTTTAGTATTTGATACATTTGTAAAAACTGGGCGATATATCTCGTTTTATACAGGATCAACGCGATCTGATAATAAACTGAACCTTCAGCATTTCTTTAATTTTCCTAGTCTTTCTAAAATCGTTTTTCTTTGTTGTTGTTGTTGTTGTTGTATTTGAAGTAGTAAGCGTGAACGAGGTTTGTGTTATACAGCGATCGATTTATTGATTATCAGGTCATGGGGTCCGCCATCAAGATGAAGAAAGTGATTCTGATGCGGACGATGATGATATGGACTTCTCTTCAGAAGATGAAAATGACACCAATCCAGGTTAGGACACCTCCAATGTATTTTTACGGCCGTGCTCGCCTGGCTGTTATTTTGTATTTTTTCAACGCAATTTGCCACTACAATAGCAGTTCAAAGAATGACAGCAATCTGATGTCACTCAAGAACGGCTTTCGCCGAAAATGTGCGATAAACGGTTGGTTTATACGTAAGCTGCATTCTTCGTTGCACGCGGGAAACTTGGAGAGCACGGAAGAGGCGTAATAGTTGCTTGCGCGCAGCCGATAGTTTATTGAGTGCTCTTCAAACTTCCCAAAAGCTTCATATCTCCATAAACTCTCGCTGACGCAGGAACCAATAGTCCATTTTACAGTTGCGTGTTTGGTTGCCAAGCCTTTGAGCAGGAGTGAGCCTACAGAAGTTGCCGTTTTTCAAATGTAAATTACTTTGTTATCATGCTAACTAGATACACAAGTACACAACTGTAAAATAGCCTATTTCTAACTGGTTACGGGATGTACAAATCAAGGTCTCAGGATGAGCCGCACAACGACTGAGTGGTGGGGGGAAAGTATTTTATACCTTGAAGACGATCATATAATACAGAACATTTATTATTTTCATGCCAAGTTGCCTTTTCAAATTAAACTCAATTCAATGATTTCATGCCAGTTAACTTAAATGTTCTCCTTAAGGCGTGGAAGAAAATACCTGCCTGAGCGAGGACGACAAAGAAATGAAAACAGTCATGGAACAGATGGACAGCGAACTCGCCCAAACATCCATTGGAGAAAGTTTTGAAAAGGTAAGCGTACGTTTTAACATTTCACTCCCGTGTCATGTGACTAGTCAGCGGTCTCTCCGCACAATGTTGATACAGCATCAGACAGAACGATCATGAAAATGAAAAAAAATCTGATTCACTTGAAGGATGTTGCCTGATTTAACACCAAATTCGTTTTACCGCTTGTCTGTCTATCCCTCTATCCGTCTGATAAGCCTCTCTTTGTTCGATCCAGTTAATTTTTGTCCATTTTCTCTGAACCACAGAAGGGCAAATTAGCTGAAGGAACTCGTCAGACCCAAACTAACCATCCCGGTGAACTTCAGGACGATTCCGACGAGGATACCCCTGTCGACGTAGACTTCAATCTTGTTAAAAACATCCTGGAGTCCTTCTCGACGCAACAAGGACTCGCGGGTCCAGCATCGAATATCCTTAATTCGATGGGTGTGTGGCTTCCGCCGAATAAAGACTTGAGCGATCCCAGTTAACTTCACGCAATAGGAGTGAATCATTCACTTTCTTTATTTTGATTGATTTGTGGCCTGAATCCGCGGAGAAAAAGAGAAAAACCACACTTTGGTGTGAGGGCAGTGCTCTACAAATTTTCGTCGCCTAAACTGTGGCCTTCGTCCGAGAGATACATTTATATCTTTAGACCAGAGTTGAATACACGTGGAAGTACTTTGGAACTGCGATTTAGCTGAGGGAACAAACTTATCGAGTTTCGACAACAATTCACTTTGCATCGGATTTGACCGATCCAAGAAAGCAAAGTGGTTCAGGAGTTGGAAGTTCTTAAGTGCTTCAAGTAAGTTAAGGTGACGCGTGGTTTTTCAAAACAAAACAAGAGAAGACAAAGTGTAACTTTACTGCAGTGAAGACAGTCAAGAGAATATAATTGTTGCACCGTCGTTTATGAAATTAAACCAAACGAAGCAAAACATCTGGACATTTTTGGTTGTAACTCCTACAAAGAAATATGACGAGTCGTTGTAATGTTGGCCGCATGTATTTTTAGCAACAAGATGAAAGAAACTCTCTCTGTTCAATATGATGACACAGTATATCACGGCCTAAGAATTATGTAAATTACAGCCGGAGTTTTTTCGTTTGCAATCTGCGTTAGTTTTTTGTATCCTTTTTCCACCTTGATTTACCATTAACCCTTGAGAATTTTTCTTTCTTTCCATCTATGTCTGAAAGTGGAGACTTTCCCAGTTTGACGGCTTATAGATACGTTTTGTACGGTGCAGCAAAAGGGAATTATCTTCACATAGCTCAGTTAAAACTTAGCTAGTAACCATTCCTCTGCACAATTCTCGTTCCTGTCCATCTGCATCAGGAGCTTGAAGGAAAGAATTGCTTACCTAATATATAAAGTAACGCCGAAAATCTCAGTGACCAATTTGCTTCACTCAAACAAATTTCATCCACACGGTAACCGCAGAGGCCTCAGATGGCCCCAGAAGATCAAGATTACTTCCTGTTTTATCGTTTGATTTGATGGGACGTAGAGAAGCCACCTGACAACTGTAATTAAGGATACTTCTTCACTTAGCTTAGTGGACCCAAAGGTCTCTTCCAAATGTTTATCATTCAGGGTCGCGTTGTTCAAAGGTGGGTTAAGATAGCCCAGGGTTAGTGTGAAATTTGATTTCAGATCTGAAAGCTTTAACAGAAAAGTTAGTTTAATTCCATTTGTCTCCAATTTGATGATTGAATGCTCTATAAAGAACTGGGAAAATTATCCCAAAAGGGGTTTTGAACAGAGAAATAGAAAAACCTGGATTAAGATTTAACCCTGGGTTAGCGCTAATCGGCCTTTGAACAACTGGGCCCTGAAGAGCAAATATAACAAAAGCATTATCTTATTCCTCGATTCGTCACTTGACATTCGTTTTTTACTTGTTTTGAACCATATTTCTTCATTTCCCTTCGAAGTCCAAGTCCACTGTATCACTTTTATCAAAAGTAGTTCCTTTGCGGCACTTGTTCTTTGTTTCGAAAATGTCCTTATCTTTATTTATGACAGCATATACCGACCTGTTTATATAGCAGTGTTGACTGTGCATATATCGTTGTGTTTACTTTGGAAGCGACGCGGTTAAATATTAAGCAAAAAACCACAAACTTGTATCGTATTCCATATAGCTAACTTCAAACGAATGTGACCTTGTCCATCGCGTCCCGAAGCATGGCAAAATTTTCAAGAGTTCAGTTAATTCTCGTGTTTTGTATTTTAGTAACGGTGAGCGGCGAGGAATCGGCGAAAAGTACAGTGACACAAAATTATTGTCCGTATTTCAAAAACCGAGCTCCGGTTCCTCAACCGGGTCTGAAGAATTGTACGTGGTACAAAAAAAATGCCTGTTGTCTTCAAAGCGAGCTGGACCTGATATTCCCGTCAGTTTTGCCACCGCTTGGAGCAAGTGAGCGATGTTTGCGGTACACCAACTTTCTCATGTGCTACGTTTGCGCCCCCGATCAGAATTTGTTTTACGACAATGAACGTTTGACCGTATGCGGAGGTTTCTGTGACAAATGGTTCACCGCCTGCGGTGAGGCAAAATTCAAGGGAATGAAGATTAAAGAGCTGTTTAAATCCGGAAAAGAGTTTTGTCGAGCGAGGAAATTTTCGGTGGGTAAAGCTAGCAGGAAAGATTGTTTTAGTTTTGAACAAAAAGTCGTGAGCTTTGCCTTGCCAAGGCTTCCTTTAGGACATTTTCTGTGGTTGGCTGCAACAGTGGTTGTCCTGGTCGTGGATGGTCAATAAAAGTAGAGGTAAACCAGCATTTCTTATGATGTTTAATATAATTTTTCTTTGGTAACCTTTTTACTTAATCCAGATTTGGTTTTGCTGGATATGGTGTTTGTACGTGGCATGTTTAATTTAACAGATTGGACCACAGATCGGATCAAGGATCGGATCACGGATCGGATCAAATGAAATGAAAATACAGGAAATTTTGTAACAATGTATGGGGCCTTGGTCCAGCTGAGAAGGATTTCTCAAATTCATTTGCAAGGTCACTTTACAAAGTAAATTTTCTTCATTGTTGAGCAGATAGTGTTTTCTTACTGTAACTATCAGCTTCATGTTGGGTGTTCCTTGTAAATATAATGGAACCACAGTAACTCTAAAATGTATAGATTTAGCCAAGCCTAAAAGCAGAGCTCCCAAGTTTGTAATATTAATGATAACATAAGAGATGTGCATTTGCCAAGACTTGTCTGAGTCACCCCTCCCTTCAATTTGATAGTCTCCCCTACCCTACCCGTGCAATCTGAAGGCAGGTACATACGGAGGTACGCTCGTTTAGTCACGTGACAACCAAATGAAAAGAGGTTGACTATATTCCATGGGTATGGGGCTCTGCCCCACGTACACGTAGGAGCCCCGCTATTATTTGTTATTATTATTAATATTATTACTATTATTAATAAATGAAAGTTAATTATCTATGGATAACTAATAGGTCCTCTAGGTATTGAACAACTAGACCCAGAATGTCTATTTTTGTTTTCCTTTCACTATACTTGCATTGCTGCGCAGCCACAAGTTTAAACTAAGTTATCTGTGACCGATTGCTTTCTAGGAATGCTGCTGCCTTTAAGATGTTGACGGAAAAGAAGCTGGTTTCCACTTTTTTCTTTCCATTGTAAAGCCCTTGGTGTGGTGCAGTAAAGTAAATTTCATTGTAAAATTGTTTTTGTGAAAAGGTTGTGGTTATGAAGACAACAGCCAATAATAAGGATTACAATGATTATATATGAATGAAGCAATTGCTCAAAGAGCTCTTGGGGCATCTTTCTCTCTCGTGTGGAAGAGCATTTCAATGGCATAGGCTGCGAAACACAAACACCTTGCATTGTTGCTGACTTTTGAATCTTGTAGACATAATACTGATTATAACAACAATCCAAATATCGCAAGTAGTCTGAGTTCTTGTGGTTTGGAATGAGCTGAAGGTGGCACCTTAGGCTCATTCCACATTGCAAGAACCTGGCACCTTGGGCTCATTCCAAACCACAAGAACTCAGACTGCCAGCAATATTATTAAGATTGTTGTTAAAATCAGTATTATGACCATAGGATTCAAAATTCAGTGACATTGCAAAAATAATTGGTGCATACCACAGAACAGCATAACCTTAAATTGTTCACACACACACACAAAAAAAAAATTTAATTCGTTACATTTTTTGAGTCATTACCTTGGCAATCACAATGGCAATTCACCCATCGCAAAAATGTTTATATATTTAACAATTATTCCACGAGCATGCGTTGGATATGAGATGATAGATAGCCAACGAGGCGCGTAGCGCCTCGTTGGCTATAATCATCTCATATCCAACAAGTGTGAGTGGAATAATTGTTTTATTAAAAACGTTAAATTAAATGATTAAATTTTATTAAATTTTTAGCTCTCTTTTAATTTTAAGCTGACACGTACGCTTACCATATTTGTAGATCATGGTATATTGGTTGATATACCTTAATGGCTAAGCCAATAAAAAGTCTTGAATTGCATTATCCAATGATCTAGTTTTTAATAAAGATATATATACATATGTATATATTATGCTCACTACACTCATAATATCATTATGTTTAGATTAAATAACATTTGAGTTACAATTTTTTGTACGGGAGTGCAGTACTATAAATATCATTGGCCATAGTGGTAGCTCAATAATTTTCCTATCTCAAAAAAAAATCCTTATTTGTTTTTAATTTCTTCTGTCAAATGATTTTTGATCCATTCTTTCATTCTTTGTTATACAATCTCTACGTTTTACAATTTGATTGTAAACATGAATGACATGAAAAATCCGTTTGAAAATTGATCATTTCGGGCAAGTAATTCCTTTAATAAAATACGATCGAAATGAAAGAGAAGTTTCATTCTTTGTCAAATGTCTGAAAACTGATTCCATAAATACACTGTTTTTAAGTCTCTGACGAGACATGTATCAGATTAATTCCATTTGTAGTCAATACTATGACAGCAATTTAGACATTTTGTGCCAAAAATGATATTTTTGGTTGAAAGGCTGCCACGCTGACCCATGTGAAATTGAAGTACATGTTTAGCTACATACTTGGTTGCCAATAAAAAAGAAAAGCTTGAATATTTTGCCATGTTTTATGTGGCGCAAAGATATATTTGGCATTTGACCATAAAAACAAATAATGACTGTAATTTCCGAACTTTGAACCTATAAATCGAGAGAACCGGTAAAAAAAAACAGCATTTTCTTCGAATGAAATGTTATATCGAAATCTTGTGTAATATGTTCCCAGTTTTTCTTTTTTTTTTTTTTAATTGTTCCATCTTGCCATGTAATTCGCATTTGACTTACTTCGTAGTCCAGTTTCATAAAAATATTCGCGTGCACTGCAGAGTGCATACTAAATTGTTCCTTCAGCTGGCGTAGAGACTATTTCAAGGTCAATGATAAGTATTGTCTGCAATAATAAATGCTCTTTCAAGTAAAATGATTATAACTCGATATATTAGCATAATTTCGATCCCTTGTTTGTTTTTCCTCTAAGAAAAGAGCTTTAAAACGTGCTTTCCCGAGGAAACCTGATATAATTTTCTGCAACTTTTGACATTTACCTTTGTTAAAAGTGCTACTTCGAATTTTCACGTGAATGATGATATGTGGGCTTACCTTATTACAGCTGTTCACACACGTCTTTATGTGAGCTCATGGATTAAATTAGGTTTTCAACTGTGTGATTTGAAAGGCACGAATAAAAATCCGTAATACGTAGTAAACCTTAGCCCTCGGATTATCGTGGGATTGCGTGACGGTGTTTGCTCATAACAAAACACAGTGCTTAGCTACAAGAGACAACATTCCTAAGACAGCTATGAACTTGCTATCGACGCTTGATTGTTGGGACGCACTGTTTGCGTTGGGTTTTCCTTTATAAGTGAAGCACTTTCCGCGAGCTTCCTTGTCCGTTTTGAATCGACGTGCCTTGCAGAAGTCTTGGCCATTTTTGTAAACGCGCTTAAGTGAACGCCCTTTCAAGATTGCGTTTTGGCACGCGTTATAGATGCGATCGCAGAATTCTTCGCAGACGGTCAGAGTAAATTCCTTGAAAAACGTATTTTGATCCGGCGCACATATGTAGCAATATAAGTAGTTCATATACTGTGCACACTGGCCGGTTGCACCTTCAAGTGGTGACAACTGACGAAAAGCAAACTCAATTTCTTCGTCATAACAGCATGAATTCTCTTTATACCAAGTGCAATTTCTCAAATTGTCCTGCCGAGACGGACCTCGATTCTTGAAGTAAGGACAATACTGCACATCGCTGTTCGTTCTTTCAGCTCCGACAACAACAAGCAAATTATTCAAACCACAACATGTCCAGAGTAAAAACAAAACAATGAACTGATCATCCAAACTTGTCTTCATGGCAAGATTCCCTTCAAAAGGCACTGTGTATCGATGTCGCTGTTTACTTACAACGCAAGTGCGTGTTCTTAAACCAATACCGCCACTTGTAAATACGGGCTGTTGTTGATGACTGACTCGATCGCTCGCAGGTTTCAGAGGCGATTAAATGTTCCAATTCAGCGTTCAGTCTGCGTGAGCTGAGAGATTTTAGCTAACCGTCTAATAGTTGTGGGCAGTCGTTCGCTGTAAGCCACTCCCGGAAATATAGTAGACCAAATACGAGAATCGTCGACACTGTAAATTAACCTGGTAACTTGTTTTAATTAACTGGGACGATAATTGACATTTTGTCAGTACCACCCTCAGGGAATCACGAACATCGAACAGGCGGCAATGGGGCGTGACGGGGGGTAAGTCTTCGTATCAAAGTTAGGATATAACGTTCGTCCAGAATATTCGATGTTTGATAAACAATATTACGTCAGAACCCCATAGAAACTTTTACTATAAGTACTAGGTTCCTAAGGAAGCTCGGGTGCTATTTTATTTCTGAGAAAAGAGGGGGGTAAGGGTAAGTACTCTTCAAGTCTTTAGCAGTCCAGGGTATGGTAGTGAACTTTAAGTTTTATCCCATGCCTTTTTCATGCTTTCCACGAGAAAATTATATTTAGGTATTGGGATTCATTTACCATATTAAGGAGGGGGATTTGGTTGAGAGGTGAACATTTCCTGTCAAATTTTGTACTTAAAAGTGTTTACTGCAATTGTGGGAGTATTGTTTGTTCACAATTGAAATGATTTAATGATATCAGAGCTGAGAAACAGTTCTGAAAAGAATGCATAATTGTTCAGCCAATGAGATCACAAATATTCCAAGTTTAGAACAAGCACCTACATCTATAGTGATCTTCTGTTTTGCAAGGGCCTAAATATTGTGGATTTGTGTGAAGAAAATAATTGCATCAATAGCCAAAATAAAAAAAAATAAAAAATAGGACTCTAATTTGTTGAGTGGACATGTCAGTTAAGCCCAAATTTTCTTCCCCCATTTTTCTTGCACAAAACTGACCTAAGCCAACTTTCAAACTTTACTGACATTTTAATTCCTAAGATCTGGTCAGCAATTCTCCTGTTACAATGCTAAACATTTTATTATATATTGGTAACAAGACATAGATATCATCATCAAGATAAAATAGTCTAGCTGATCAATATGTTTATGCTCATTGTCTGTTCCCTGACCTTAACCATATCCCTTCTCACCAGTGAGACCTGGTAATGGCCTACCTAACTGCAGAGCTCTCTATAGCTCAGTGATTGAGCATCCAAGTGTAGAATTAGAAGGTCTGAGGTTTGATTTCTCGTAAGGACTAAGAAAAGTAAACCTTTACACTCCCAGGATCTGATTGTTGATCCTCCCCTCTTGCTACAACACATCTTATAAATTAGTGACATGAATTTCCACCTGACAAGTTTAAATAATCTCATAACCTGTTTGCTAAACAATGTATAGATATTATAGGGAGAAGTTACATGTGAATCACATCTGGGAGTTAAAGGGTTAAGGAAGAGTCTATTTGCCAACACTGACTTAAATGCTACCCTTCATGTCTCTCCTGTGGAGGCATGGTGGCCTCATGGTTGGTGCACTCAACTCCAGATCAAATGGTTTGGGTTGGAGACCTGGCTGGGGACATTATGTTGTGTTCTTAGGCAAGACACTTTACTCTCACAGAGCCTCTCTTCACCCAGTTGAATTACATGGGTACTGGCGAATTTAATGCTGGGGGTAACCCTGCGATGGACTAGCATCCCACCCAGGGGGGGAGTAGATTTACTCATTGTCACTCCATGCTACAGAAACCGGAGTTGAGCATTGGCCCCATGAGCCACATGGCTCCTAAGTAGGCTTTACCTTTTTACCTTCATGTCTCTCTTGGGGAGAAAAACAGACCTAAGTTACCATGTATTGCATGATTGTACTCAACTGACAACTTATACTGTAACAATTATAGCAATATTAGTTAACAATCCTGAGACCATTGTCTCAAGTTTCAGGGTTTTGTATTGTTCCATTGTCTTTCACTGCAGTCTTGCTTTTACAGACTTTTTTTCTGGCCTTGTAAAGATGAAGCTGGCTTTCCTTCTTGGTGGTGGCCGTTTCTTTTCTTGAGGTGTTGTTTGATTCTCCCTGTAACTGAGCTGTTGATTCCTCCACACTCTTCATAAAAAAAGGAAACTGTCATGTTAACTTAAATATTCAAGATCTGATTGTTAATTCTCCTCTCTAGTAGTAACACATTCTTTGTGGATTAGTTAAAAACAATTTGGTGTTAGATCAAGATAACTTCTACCTGATAAGTTTGAGCACAGATGTACATATTTCACAAAAAAAGCAAAAGTGTTTAACAGTGACCTAAGCATGAGTTAAGTTTTTTAAACTAAAGTGAGTGCTTTCATGCAATGGGGTAAAACTCTTAAACATTAATTTGAAAACAAGATGTTTGCAGTACCCACCTCAATGTCCACTTCTGAATCTTCTGATATTTTTTCCACAATCTGGGGGAGAAGACTTGCTACAAAAAAAGCAAAAAACAAGTCTAAAATAAATACAATATTCCTCAGGGAGGGAATCCAATTCTTGTACGGCTTACCCCCAACCCAGATTTCCCTCTCACTTTTTAAGCTGTTTGAAAGCCTAGTTCCACACTGGCTCTCTGGCTCTGCCAGCTCCCAAAGTTATTTTCCTAACATCATTACCAGTAATCATTTTTTTGTTTTAAGTAATTGTTTGTACTTTTGGCAAGAAAGTACATAACATATACAAAGGCAGGGTTCAACATTAACAGTAGCCAACTGGCCACAGACTAGTAGAAATTCAGTTTTGGGTAGTGGTTTTCAGTTTCCACCACCCAGTTTAGCTAGTAAACAAACTGAAATTTTTATAACATCTAAGTTGTCACCAGCCACTTGGCTAGTAGGTTGAAAAGTTAATGTTGAGTCCTGGAGGGGATTGTGGAAATATGGGAACAAAACAAACACAATGACTCTGGCCCTCGGGGGGAGCGGGGGGCTTCATATAAATAAAAGAGTAACATTTGTCCTTTATGCCTCCTATTTCCTTCAACCCATCCCCCAACAAAGCCTCTTACCAAGCTCAACGCCTGTGGGGCTGGTCGTTGATGTAACCCTGTTATTGGGTGAACTTTCTTCAATTTTATCCACAGTACTGGTTCGAATCTTTTTGGATTTTGAGGTTTTCTTGACAGCTTTCAGCCTCTTTTTAGAACTTTTCTGCCGAGCACCATCATCATCATCATATTTCTTTATCTCACCAGGGACTTTGCGTTTACATTCCATTGTACTGGTTTCAACAGATGAAGTGTGGCTACAAAAGTAAAGATTGAAATAGAAATATTATTACAGATACACTACCCCTAAATTGATTAACTTCTAGTTTCCTTCGTGATTTCATCAAATTATTCTACAAACTGATGATGACAACTGGCAGGCTCAACCGTTAGACAGTGTTATGTAGGTATGGCACTAAATTCTCCTGTGAAATTTTTAGAGAAATGTATGGTAGTCCAGGTAAGAGTTACTCATCACATCTTGGTAGTTTAAGTGTTACATGGAAAGAGGTTTATTTGTATAGTTCAATTTTACTAGGAAGTTGAGTTTCCAACCTTAATGATGACAAGAGATTCATTTCTTCCTCAAGAATGAACACAAGTCCTGCATCAACCAGTGTCTCATCCACTTTGTAACTCAGAGGTATATCAAAATGAAACTCATTTTGTAAGCCTGAGATTTTCAGCTGTGGTTCATTGGGATACAATTTGTGAAAAACATCTTCTGTGTGTCTTCTGAAAGCAGCAAGAGTCCATTCCTTCTCAGCCAGGACCTGCAGTAAAAAAAAAAAAAAGAAAAAAAAAAGAGAAAAACAAACTAAAGGTGTAGCAATGGATTTAAAAAACATGCACAATTAACCCTTTCCACCCTAACATCAGTATGCATATTCTCCATACTGTTTTCTACACATTTCCTAAGGTGCTGACGAGGAGAATTTGTTGTACACAGACAATAACACCTTCGGCTGGTAACCTTAATGTCTGATTCAGGGGTGATATTGTAAGGAGAAATTAAAAGCTAGTTTGAATTACTTTAACCTGAAAATAATAAGCACCCAGGGGCTAATAAGAGTTTTTAGAGCACAAATAATACAAGTAAAAATACAAAAGAGAGGTCACATACACGAACCAAAAATTAAGCAAAACTGTTACATCTTTTGCAGCTGAAATACACCGTATCTGTCAAATATTAATTGTCTCTTCATATACAGTAGGCAATAAATGCCACAACAGGAGATGAATAACCTAGATCTCATCCTCAGTTTAAACCACGAGTTTAAGACTATAACAAGTATACAAGTTCTGGCCCCTGATTAATAATGTAAATTTAGTATAATTTAAGAGCTGAGCAAAGAGTTTCCAGCAATCTGATTCGTCGAGCGGTTCCTTATACGACGCTATATAAACCACTCCACGCGGTTCATATAAAATGTTAAAATAAAATGTTAATAAATGTTACTAAAATGTTATGATTTTAGAAATTTCTCTGTTGTTCAGCACTGAAATTATACTAAAACAATTATTCGCCTCAGGTTCGGTGAATATTGTCGAATAATCCCCTCGACTTCGCCTCGGAGATTATTCGACGATATTCACCTTTCCTCTGGCGAATAATTGTTAAATAGAGATCGCAACAGAGCTCGCGTATTAATTTTAGTATGCTTCAAAATGTAATTAAGATTAACACAAAAGTGGAATCCTGGATGTGATTAAAACAGTAGGATCTTGTTGCAAGTTTCTCTTACCAGAAATCGCTTGTCTCTGGATGAACAAACAACATTAATGCGCAATTTCTTCGCCATATTTTACCCTATTCCGATTTTGATAAGTTCGTCCGCCATCTTGTATAACAGACTACTACCGCTGACGAATATATGCGCAGTAATGATTTACATATATATTTTCGTAAAATGCGCTGACCTAGCAGACTCAATGTTTTGCTTTGAAAGGACCGCGAGACACAGCAGGATTGGACGCAGGATCGATCTTTTGCAGAGTATTTCGCCTCCCACAGACTTTTTGATACGAAATTCGTCTTTAGCCAGGAACAAGGTATGGAAATACTTCTTTCACTCGGAAGCCTTTATGCAAGAATTTGTTGATTGACTCAGACATTTCTCGGTAGCCACCCAAACCGCAAGTCGAGTAACAAATTCCAAATGTTTCATAATTCAAAGCTTTGACGGGAATGGCAGGGACTCAGTTCACGAAAAAGTAATATTTTCGAGATAGAGATTTAGACATTGTGTCTACGATCAGAATTTCTTGATGGTTTATGAGGTTAAGCAAAGGTTTAGCGTCGCATACAAGTCGGAGAGGTTTTTGAAATAAATCTCAATTTCCGTGAGGCATTCTTTTATCTTGCACGATCGAGCTCTAATCTCGTTTGGTCAGTACAATCTATATTGGCTCATAAGATATTCGATTTATGGATACCGTTTTGTTGGGTGTCTCATGAATAATTTGGTGCAGTGTAGACGAATTTATTTTTTTTATTCATATATTTTAATCAATGTGGAATTTTACATTTGCACGTGCTTTGAAATCGAAACACTCGAACTGTTTGCGAATTTTGTGGCTCTTTGAGCGCCTGCTAAAGGAAATAAAAATGTATCGAGGTGGAAAATTGCGATTGTAAACCCGCATTTAGCTTCGTGAATAATCATTTTAACTGGAAGTACAAGTTTTTGCTTAAGTTTTTCGTCTTATTTTGCGAAATTGGGTCGAGAATTTCACTTGAAGATCGTATAGTAGCTCTCAAATTATATTTCTTTTGGTTTCCTCAAAGTGATAATTTTAGCAACAGAATCTTAATATTGTTGTCATTCATTGACTTGATTTGAATGCTGATATATACTTTTCCTTAAATGGTAAAGTGTGTCCTTCATGGAGACATTTCTAATTCTCCAATGTTGGTGTTTTGATTGCAGTGTCTAACATCATGAGGTTCTAGCGTCACTCGCTTATCATCTCCCGGTCAAGGTATAATGTATTCACACCCAAACACAATTTTATTCCCAAGATCTCACTAGTAATTCTCCCGACTGTCTGCCATACAAGTCATGCATAATTCTTATGATGCTGGCTTGGAGAATTTGACATTGGATATTCTAATAATCCCATAATTGATGTTTTCTTTATTCTCATCCCTTCTTTGCTTGATATTGTATGATATTGTTGGGAGAAATTCTGTCTTGGTCAATGATGCAGGGGTTTCTTTAAGGGCCGGGCACTGACCAAATTGACCAGTTGTAAGGATGGTTTTGCCCACCTGGTTTAACAATCTGGAGGAAGGTTTATCTTATAAAGAAGTTTAGTTCAAAAAGTTTTGCCTGCCTGTGAAAACCAGTTGCCCTCCTGCTGAAAACATTAATGAAACCCCTGTGATGTGGGAGTGAAAGGGTTCACTCAAAACTATCCTTTGGGAAAAATCTAACTCAGCCACTGAGAGAGTTTTAGTTACTGTAGTAGTAAATCTTTAATGAGAATGCCAATGTCACAAAGTGGTTTACAGAAGGGTCCTCAAAAGAATACTAAGTTTAGATTATGAACTAGTTGATCATACAAAAATGTAAAAAGATTTAAAAAGTATATACAATCATCAAGCATCAAATATAACTAGTTAAAAATACAAGAATGTAAAAGATAGAAAGAATATACAAATTAGGGTTAAAAAGCAAAGAATGTCATTAAGAATCAAAGATAACTTTGGACAGGCCATGTTTGAAAGCAGGCAGTGACTTTGCTTTCCTTAATGAGATGTCTAACCCATTCCATATATCAGCACTAAAATACCCTGATGACCAATGACTCCATCTTCTTTTGGTACTGGATTTGTGAATGTCATTTTTCGATCTTGTGTAGTGATCACTGAGATGGAGAAAATTGGATTCATTTGGTGATCATTTCCTTTATTCCTTCAACTTTAATGTGTGATTCAAGGGTTAAGTTGTAAGGAGAAATTAGCAGCTAGTCATTCTTAAGGATCAAAGGGTAAAGAAAATTGAAAATCAATCCAGGATGGAAAATTTTAACGCAACACAAACTTTTACTCTGCTACATTTAGAAAAATCTTGTGGAGCAAAACATTGTAATGTAACTCTTTTAACCAATAACTATTTCTGACCCCTTAAACATTGAGACTGGATTGTAAGTTCCTTGTTTTCTCAAATTTGTTCGTTTAGATGAACCAGCTTGGCTATAGTTACTTTGAAATTATTTTCTTAAGAGAATTGTTATATTGGTGTTGCATAGTGTAACAAATTCCATCTTTATAAGGAGTTTGTTGTACTGTGCTATTCCAAAATGACCTCAATCATTGCCATTTGTGACAGTTCTTTAACAACAGCATTAATGTCATTGTGGAAAAATAATATTGATCATTTCATTTAAAATTAAACAGAGAGATGTGGTCATGTGTGTGGTGCGTTTTGATGGACCTCTAAGTTAAACTAATTTCAGCCTTTTCATCCACCAATTTAATTATATTTTCTGAAAAGTAGGATTTTGGGGAAAAAACAGCAAAAAAACTTCATACCAGTTTAAACCTTTTTGGGGAGGATTGGACCTCTAGCGAGTGGGTCAAATTCTTTTCTATTTGGTTTGTCTGTGCTCAGTTTTATGAAAAAGAGTTCTGTGGTTACTGCTAGAATAACTGGGCATTGTGAAGTTTTTTAAAAGAAATTGAAAAACTCTTCTCATCTAGGGTATTTAAGCAGAGCATTACATTGAATTTGTCTCGTTGGTAGTTTAACTTTAAATTTTAGTCTGTTGTCTTCCTCTTAGCACTCATTTCACAAACTCTTCCCTATATTTTTCTGAGACCATGAGAAAGAGAGCCTGTTAGTCACAAAATTTATGTGTGGTATTTTTGGAGAGATTTTTTTGAATTTTTTTCAATCATCAAGTGAGCTGTCAGTTTGTATACAGAAACTATATTTCTTTGTTTTTTTTTTTATGCATAGTACGATTGGCACCCAACAATGAAATAAAATGGAGGAAGAAGATGTAATGAATACTAGACTTGCAATCAAGGAATCACTGAAGAAGCTTGATGAATACACAACTTACCTGAGGTACTTTAAAAAAAAAACATGCTGTGTCTTAATTAATTAATTAATTTTTAATTAATAACTGTAAAAGCAAGATACTAAGTGTAAAGCACACATGCATGCAGTGTTCTTTGTTTCAGGTGGTAACCATTATTTCTTTGAAAATAAACCTGAGTCTCTTTAACTACAGATCACCCCCTCTTAACACTCCCTATCCCAAATTTAATTGTATCCCCTAAAATACAGGCCTGAACAATTTTCAGACCAAAACATCCTTTTTTAATTTGTCTTCGTTTAATTTTTTTCTTCTCAAAACCTATTTAATGTAGATCAAGGCTAACAGACATCAAGTCAACACGTGAAGGAGTCAACGATAGCATCAGCAAAGCACGTATAGTGGTTAATGAAAGATTTGAAGAAATCAGGAAGGAAATAGCACATGTGTTAGAAGCTCGCCAAAGAGGAATTTTAAATACTATTGCTGAGATAGAAAGGAAGGATCTTGATCCTCTGACTTCTTTGGAAGACAGAATCAATGGAGATTTAGACAACACTGTACAGTGTATCGAAAAAGGTTTGTCTACAGGAAATAGTTGATAAGTATGTTGAGCAACCAAGTCATGCAGAGATTTCTCTGATTTTTTTTTTATGTGTGTGTGTGCTAAAGCTGAGAGATATCATATCTCTTTAAAATTTGTTTTTTTTTTTTTTCAAATATTTGTTGTTCAAAATGACTGAAATTTCTGCTTAAAAATTTTTTTTCAATGAACTGTGCAAGCAGGAAACTTTTTGATCTTATGTTCTTCCAGCAGTGGAGCACTAACAAGGAGCAACCTTTAATTAATGATGTGACTGTTCAAATTTTCCAACTTTTTCATTAATAGAAGGGAAATGCTTATTTGATAGGTGGAACATGTTTTCCATTCTGCCAAAGGCAGCTATATGTAATGTTTGGTGGATTTTTTTGTTATTGTTTTCAGGGGTGGGGAGAGGGGGGTTAACCTAGTTTTGTGGATTCAAGATTGTCCCCAAAATCCCACAAAAATAAAACCTGTTTAATTGTCTTGCCTTGTTGAAGACAGCTCTTTTGTACATCTATGTAAAATACTCATCTAGAACTTTGCTAGAAATGCTGATGGCAAATATTTTCTTTAAGGTCATTATTGTATATGGTTTGCTCAACTTTCAATTTAAACTCAGGTAATTCTGCTCTTGATGAGGATGATGCAACCCTCCTGAGTGAAGGAAAGAACCTAAATAATGAGCTGCAAATTTCATCTATAAGGTTAGACTAAAGTGACCCACGCTTTTGTGTTCTGCATGCACAGGTGCATTTAGATGGTTCAAAGTTGAACCTCCCACAACCAAACACCTATCATTTCTGATGATGATGATTTATTTTAACTCAGCTTGATTTTACAAGGTATATAGGTTAAATTTACATAGCAACTAAACACAGTTCAGCAAAGGAAAAAAAGAGAAAACAATCTAGCAATAAAGTAGGTAGCAAGTTAGTATCATCCAAATAGCAAAGGCTAATCTAGTGGATGACCCCTAATTATAAGATACATTTAAGGGAAAGCAAAGCTAAGAACGAATTTTTTTTTTTGTAATAAAATGAAGAAAAAAAGTATTACGTTGTACACTAAAGTAGATAATTAAAAAGAGTAACAATTGAGTATAGAGTTCTTCAGGGCTTTTCGAAATATTCTAAGAGAATTTGAATTACTTATACTTATAGGTAATGAATTCCAAAGGCGAGGGCCAGTGAATTTTAGGGACCGTAGGCCATATTGAGTAGTATTAACTGAGGCTACATAAAGATTTCTGTTACATGATTGCCTCGTTGAATAGAAATGAACAGAGGATGTAAATTTGAAATATTTACTGAAACAAGGGGGAAACAGTCTATGTGACCACTGATAAACAAAGGAAAGAATCTGTAATTCAATAACATCATTGAGCTTAAGAAGATTGAGGGATTTAAACAGAGGCTTAGAATGGGATTTTGGTTCAGAGAAAGATATTATTCTGATTGCTTTTTTTTGGATAAATAATTTTGTTAGAAATGGGGGAAAAGGTTAAACCCCAGACATGGATGCCATAAGTGAGGAATGGATTGATAAGGGAGTAATAAAGCATGATAAGAATATGTTTGTTGACAAAGTGTCTCACTTTAGACAAGATACCTAGAGTTTTGGATAGTTTCAAGCAAAGCTCATTAATATGAATTTTCCATATTAAGGCCTCTGTGGTCAATTGCAAGAAGTATCAAGAGGTTCTCAGTTTAATGATCTCAGTCTCGTGCATATTTTTGGTAATTATAGGTTGCCTAAAGGAGGTTCTGAATTCATTCTTGTATTTAGAATAGTTGAAAGCTAAGGGGGAGTTATGGAAGCCCTTTGAAACTATGGTGAAATGTTGGTGGGGATGGACTTCTGTGGATGAGAATCCTTTCCTGGAGTAGCGATACATATTTGACAGTCACACCAGCAGACCTCACCTTTTTTTAACCTTAGCAAACTTATCAGAATTTTCATTTAGAAATTTGGTAGTTGTAGCTGCATTAATAGTTGCTGTTTTACCAGAAGTATCCAGAAGTTTCTTCCAGCAATTTCTTGTGAAGTTTTTTCTTGACAACTACATTTTTTTTTCTGGCAACTTCTTAAAGTTTATAATTTTAAGTTGCAAATTGGCTACTGTTGAAAAAGTTGAGCTTTATGTATTTCACCCACAGATATCCTGACACACCATGTATATCACAAACCCTGTCTGTAACATTCAGCGAGAGTCATACCCAGTCAGTTATAGATGCAGTCAATTCTTTGGGAGAAATGTCTATGACTGGAACACTTCAGATTACTGAACTGTTAGAGCAGCCTGGAGCCATCCTAGTGCAGTGGTATGATGAGGTACAGTAAATATGTTATCAAGGGGAGCAGGGTTGGTTCAGTGGTGAAAGCGCTCGCCTTCCACCAATGTGTCCCGGGTTCGATTCCCAGACCCGGCGTCATTAGTGGATTGACTTTGTTGGTCCTCTACTCTGCTCCCAGAGGTTTTCTTCCGGGTACTCCGGTTTTCTTTTCTCCTCAAAAACCATCAAATAAACTTA